TGTTCACAGCAGCATCGTGGCTTCATTCTAAAGACTAGGTGTCAGGACGCCCGGCAGAGGGTCCTGACCTGAGAAGACATCCCTGTGGGCTCAGCCCCCTCTCTGTGACATTCTCTCCCTGAGGTGCCAGTCTGCAGGGGGCATTTGACCTAGCTATTCCCCTTCTGCATATGTTCCTTGAAGAATTTAAACTATCACACAAGAATGGTCTCTGTGCACCCATGTTTACAGCAGAACAGATTGTCATAGCCAAATCGTGGAAGTAGCCCAAATGCCCGTCAACCACAGAATGGATAAAAGAGATGTGTTTTTTTTAATACAAGGAAGAATACTCAGCCATAAAGAAGGATGAATTGAGGACATCTCTAAGGAAATGGATGCACCGGGAGACTATATTCTTAAGTGAAATATTTTGAACATGTGTAAATATTGCGTTGTCTCCCTGGTGTGAGAGGCTGAAAGTGTAAATAAGGACCAAAATATATACAATAGATATTATCAAATAAGAAGAAAATATTCAACTGGCCGTGGTGGCACATGCCTGTAATCCTAATCTCAGCACTCAAGAGGCTGAAGCAGAAGGATTGCTACAAGTTTAGGACCTGGCTGGGCTAGAAAGTGAGTTCTAGGCCAGCCTGAACTACATAGTGAAACCCTGTCACAAAAAGACAAACAGAAGAAACAGAAGGAGGAGAAGGAGGAGGATAAAGTGGAGGAGGAGGAGGAGGAGGAAGAAGAGAAGGAAGAGGAGGAGGAGGAGGAGGAGAAATTACTCAAAAGAAAAGAGGAACTAGGAAAGGGTAAGGAAGGAAGCCAAAAAAAAGAAAGCCAATAAAAAGCATAAAATGGAAACAAAGCTTTGTAAATAAGACAAGGAAGAGGATTGAAGGGAGGGGAGGGAATTGGGAGAAAAAAAGAGGAATCAAGATATATCATATACATGTACAAATTCCCTACGGGGAATGTGACCATTCTGTACATCTAAGTTGTGCAATAAACAATACAGAAGAGCTCCTAGAGCCAGGTGTGGTGGTGCTCACCTGTAATCCCAACACTCCGGAGGCTGAGACAGGAGGATCGTTTTCAATTCAAGGGCAGCTTGGGCTACAAAGTGAGCTCAAGGCCAGCCTGAACTGCAGAGAGAGACCCTGTCTCCAAAAAAAGAAAGAAAAAAAGCTCCTAGTGACAGAGCTCGGATGTGAACCCAGGCAGCAGTCTCTGCACTCCCTGCTCCTTCGGTGCAGAACCACTCTACACTGTGTAGAAGTTTCAGTGGCTCTGTCGCTGTAGTCTAACTCATTTTCTTACATTCTTCTGTCTAATACTGAGAACATACACAATTTAAAATGTGCAAGACCAGATTACAGGGCCAGGGTTGTAGCTAGGTGGCATAGCACCTACCTGGCCAGCACGAGGACCTGAGTTCCATTCCTGCTACCAAAAACAAAAAAGAGAGAGACAGACCAGATTATAGCGTGTAGGGGCATAAAGTTGGGCAATAAAACCACCAAGAGACACAGATAAGAGACTATTATGAGATCAAGTAGAAAGAGAGCTCTAATTAGCACAGGGCACACGGGTTTGAGGGCGTCTAGAAAAGTTCTGTCAATCAGGATGGAGGTTTTGGAGACGCTTATCTTATGAGAATTGATTAAACACTTTTACCTGTGAAAGAAGAAACGACAGTGCGAGTGTCCTCTGGCAGGGACCCCGCTTTGCTTTTCATTTTACCCCAGTGTCCGGGTCATCTGCACAGCAGAGGCCCTGGAGGCTGCCCGTCAGTGTGCTGTGCACAGGAAGCCACACCGCCCTGAGGGCTCCTCAGCGCCAAGGCTGGCCGCCTCCTCCTCATCACAGCGTCCTGGGAGGTGGGAACAGGCCACACGCATGGATGCAGTCATGCCCACACCTCACAGGACAACAAGTCTGCACGCCCCAGACAGCTAAGTCCCCGGTGCCCTGCAGCCGACCCCTGTCACTGACTCCCCCTTCCAGGTCTGTACAACATCACAGGGGTCTTCACAGCGCTGCTCCCAGGCTTCCCTCCCCCTCTCAGGACCACACGGGGCACACTGGCCTGAGATCAGGACATGTGCACTGTTTGCAATCGTTGGCTTTGGAAACCACAATTCAAGAATACTCTTGACCTGTGCGCTTGAACATGTGTTTCTGAGATCATATGTGATACTCTTCTCAGGACAGTTCCTCAAAGAGAAATTCCTCCATGGAAATGTAAACACAGTTACATTGTTGCCATGTTTGGCAAAAGCTCCTTTAGTTTTTATTTCATCTTCCTTTGTAGCAGTTGATTTCCCTACTCTCAGGCCCAGACACGCATCCTTCACTTTTGTCCTTGCCAAACTGATGCATTTTAATTTTTACTCCAACTCCAGTTTCATATTCTAATTTGTGTTCACTTTTCTTACTAATGCACTTGACAGTTGCATTTCTTCTTTTCAAGGTTCTTGCTAATATTCATTATTTCCCAGTTGAGGTCTCTGCACTGAAAAAAACCCAGCATCTGTTCATCCTGGCTGACGTGGGTGAAGTTTCTCCTTTTCAGTTGCAGCTGCGTCTGCGGTTGCTCTGCACACATGACGGGGGCTGGTCACTGAGCCTCTGTCACAGCCCTGAAGCAGCGTGGTGACCACACCCTCATTTGGGGAGGCACCGAAGTTCTCAGTTCTCCCTGAGATCCCCAAATTGAAGCTCCAGTCCAGAACTGTTTTTTCCCATCGTGCTGAACTAAGTTGGCCCCTGACTGTCCAAGGTCTTCTCACCCTGTGCTGCTGAGGTGAGTGAGGATCGAAAGTTGTTTCGCTGCGGCGGGTCCTCCCGCCTCAGCTCAGCAGCACTGACACACGCTGCCTCACTGTCCTGGTATTTTCCATGTGCTTTGGAGTTTGATCACACTCATGCATTAGTACATTATTTCTTTTTATTTTTATTTTTATTTTTTTAGGTTTTTCTCCGGTACCGGGAACCGAACTCACGTCCTTGCGCTTGCCAGGCAGGTGCTTTTGCCGCTGAGCTAAATCCCCAGCCCCTAGTACATTGTTTCTGACCTGGGTGAATTTCACTGTTCTGTGTGGTTTTTCTCTTCTGGTCGCGCTGAGAGAACCTTTCTTTAACCCACACTTGAAAATCTGAACAGAGATCCTAACCTACAGTGGGGTGATGAGAAGAGAAGAGTGCAAAGGAAGAGGAACAGAGAGGCGTCTCTGAGTCGTGGAGAAATCAGAGGTCAGAGCGGGAGGTGGAGGAGAGTTCTGTACCCGGCTGTTACTGATTTCCGTTACTGCACCAAATTATGTGAGGGGAGGACACTTAATAAAGAAAACGGGTCCCTGTGTCTTACAGTTCTGAGGTTCAGTGCCAGAGGGCCTCTTCTGAGATGTTCTCCCTGCCGGGCGTCCTGAGGGGTACAGAGCGCCACCTGCAGGGCGTCAGGCCCCACACTCAGGTCTGTGTTGTGGTGTCTGCCCGTCTCTGTCCTTACGCAGCCACCAGTTTTCAGTCATGGTGGCTCCAGCCGGTGACCTTGTCTAACCCTGCGAGCTCCGGAAGTCTCCCCTCCAACCTCCATACTCAAAGGAGTTTCCACCCGCTCAGCACCGCACAATGGGGACTGGATTTTAACACCCGGACCCTTGGGGAACACGGCGAATCCAACGTTCCGTCCACAGCAGGTTCTCAGGTGGAGTTCTAAGGCCTAAAGCCTTCGCTGATAATTTACAAAGTGTTTGCAGGACTTGGGTGATGTTCCGTGTGTGCTGTCTTCAGGAAATGTTTGCCCTGCAGTTAAGTGCAGAGCTGTGGGCCTCCTCGTATTTACCGGGTTTAGAAACCTAAAATGCCAAGAGTGACACACAAACACAGTAATTAGCTCAGGTGATCAGGGTTTTTGATATTTTATGACCACTTGGTGATAGGTCATGGTTTGGGTCGTCTGCATACTGTAATTACTAAAATATCCATTCCCCTTTCTCGGGCTTGGCATGTTTTGGAGATGTGTCTCATCATCACATAGAAAACCACGGTATCTTGTGAAGATCACGTGGATTCACTGGAGTCCATGGGTCTCAATGCGGCTTTTTGCATAACGTAAGAAAAACTAAGCACACTAAATATGGACTATAGAAATGCCCTTAGCTACATACAATTGTTTACACTTAAATTTATTGCAGAAATCTTCAGCTCCTTGGGCATGTGCCACCTGCGCACAGGGTGGGCGAATCCTCGTCCCGGGGCGCGGCTACGCGGGGCTGAGCCCAGGGCTGCGCCCGGCTCCGGAAACAGCCTCGCGCTCCCCGCGGTTTCACTTCTCCCTCTGCCAACCTGTGTCTGCTCCTTCTGCCTGGACACTGGTGACGCTGCCGCGCTTCTCAAGCCCATTGCCTGCGGGCTCCCAGCCCAACCAATCAGGGATGCCGCGTCTCCGGTTATAAAGTCCTCACAGGGCGCAGGGACTCACGAGTCCCCAACTCCCGAGGGTGGGAGTGATGGCGCCCCGAACCCTCCTGCTGCTGCTCTCGGGGGCGCTGGTCCTGACCGAGACCCGCGCGGGTGAGTGCGGGCGGAGGGGCGGGGAGCGGCGCGGGAGGAGGTCGCGGTCTCACCGCCCCGCCCCGCAGGCTCCCACTCCCTGCGCTACTTC